ACCTCTAGAAACTATTTAGATATAACTTTAAGGACTTTATTTATTAAAGGAACTTTAATAAATTTGAATTTAAGGAAATATAATATTTATATAAGACTCTTTAGTATAGTAATATATTAATATAATAGAATAGTAATACTAATACTATTATAAATACTCTATTTACTATTATTAAGGAAAATATATAATATATATAATTAAACGAGAATATATTAGCGGCTAGACCAGACTATATAAAGGAACCGATCCTATTAGGCTTTATTACCTTTATAAAAAATAAGTACCTAGAACCTATTATCTTTAATATTCCTATATTACTATTACCTCTTTTACTACTTCCTTTACTATTATATCTTATATCTCTACTAGATTTATATACTAGTATAAAAGCTTTAGAAGCAAATAGTATACTTTTACTACTACTATTACCGTAATTATATCCGAATACCCCTCAAATTCCTTTAATTATAAGACTTATTAGGGAAATTACTAAGATCTATACTAAAAAGCAAAAGTATAATAGATCTAATAGTAATTTTAACTATAAACTTACTATTTTCCTCGATATTTACTAATATATAGAGCTTCTATAAGAGGTACTAATACGAGCTTTTTCTATTATATTAAAGGAACTAGTTTAAGACTATTTTTATAGTAACTAGCTCTCTTAATATATATATAAAGAGGCTTATATTAATATTTATAGCTTTTTTAAAAGCCCTGGATTCAAATATCGAAATTTAGACAAGTGAAATACTACTATATTAGTTTCTATAATAGCTAAATTCCCGGAAAAGATAATATTTGAGACTATTTAATTACTAATTAATAAACTATATTAACTATAATATAATTTTATACCTAACTTGCGAAATACCGAATTTCTTTATAATAAGATTATTATTTTTTACTAAGGTTTCCGGATATATAGATACGTAATCTCAGATTCTCCTATAAATCTCGGCTAGCTTATTAATAAGCTCTAGTTATTTATTACTATATATAAGAGCAAATAACGAGATAATCCCGAAACCTTTTTTACTAATTAATAATACTACTCTTAAAACCCTTTAAGCTATTATTTCTCCGGAAATTATTAATATAGATCTAGCCGTAATTTCGGAACCTATAATAACTACTCTAAGCCCCGTAATTATAATAATTATACTCTAAAATCGTATTTTATATATAAGAAACCCGAATACTACTTATAGAAATATATACCGGAGAAATAAGAGGCTAAGAAGGCTCGATTTAGAAGTAGAAATATTTATTAGTTCAGATCCCGAAATACTTACAACTTTAATAAATGCTTTAGTAGTACTTATATATAGTATATTACTAAAGCTAAAGGCAAAGAAAGTAATAAGAGTAATAAAAACAAACTAGTAAATAATGCTTTTAAGGCTTTATTAGCAGAAATAGATAAAGAAAAGAAATATTATTTAAATTTCTACTTTACTTTAATTAAGAGCTTTTTAGCTATTCTTACTACTCCTACTCTACTAATAACTATAGCTAATACCCTTATAAATAATCTCATTTCTCTTTCCTTTATATATTAGATAATAGGCGAAAACTATATATTAGAGTCTATTAAACCCTTAATAGAAGATATCTAGACTTTTATAATTAATAGTATATTAAAATATAATACTTACTACTTTTATAGAATTATAATTAATACTAGAGCCTCTAGATACTTAACTACTAGTTCTAACTAATTCCAAGCTCTATAATAAACTAATAATAATATTAAACTTAATAAAACTATTAAAGGCCAAGTTAATATCTAGTTTAGTATTAGATCTACTTCTTCTATTAGATCTATAATAATAAATATACTAATTAAGCAAGTATAATTCTATATTATATCTTTAAAGACTCTATTTTTACTTAGCTTGGCTAATATAAACAAGCTAGGGATTTACTTTAATAATCTTACTAATTATCTTATTACTTTTACCGGAAACTATATATCTATAGTATAATGTTTCAGATACTCTTTCCTGCTTTGAAATACTATATTATAGAGCTTTATTTCCGAATCCTTTACTTATAACTCCTGCTTTCTTATAGAGGTCGAATTATAATATTTATACTACCATTTTAGTTATTTATTTATTAGTAAGCTCCGAAATATACTAGAATAAACAGGCCATAATATTAATATAGAAGCCCTTAAATATCTTATAAAGTACTATAAGTAATACCAGAAATACGGCTAATTACCTGGATAATTTAAGTTTAACCTGAGAAATAATATTAGCTTTACCTACTCTATTATTATTAATATTTTCTATATTTCCAGTAAGCCTATATTCTATATTATTAATAAAGGCACTCGATATTAAGCCGGCTAATAGCTTTAGAATATTAGTATAATATATATCTGGGATATACTCAAGTAGTACTAGATTAATAATTATTTAGGCTCTTCTAATCAGATTATAGCAGACGCCGGAAAGCAGTTTATTAGTAAGAAGTTCGCTCAGCTTGCAAATATTATAGGAACCAAGGTTAAGATTATCCCTATAGAAGCTTATAACTCCGTCGGAATTATAGAATATTACTATAGCCCAATCTAATACGCCTACCTTATTATTATGGCCAAAGTCGACGGAATTAATAAGGATACTGCATTCCAAATAGCTTTCAAGGCCATTAATGACTCTATGGGACCTAATGGCATTATTCCGACTTTTTTTGGTTTACGGCGCTTTACCTCGAATAACCAAATATAACATCCTATTGCCCACTATATTATAGTAATCGGCGGTACTTAAGAAGGCAATAGTGGAAATTCAGAAGCTTCGAGCTAGGCATTAAATTGCGAATGCTTTAAATACCCGAAATAGTCCCAGTACTACCGATATCTACGAACTACCCCTGAATTCGAACATTCTCGTTTGGTACAAAGGGAATACCGGTTAACCTGGCAGTTGGGATAGACCGTATAAGCTAGTAGCTATTAATGGGGAGGACTGCGTGCTAGCTCTACCACGGGGCAATACCACCTTCCGTTCAACCTCCGTAAAGCCCTTTTATATAGGGAATATTGAGGTTATTACTAATAGCCCCGAACCTGAACCTGTTCCCGAACCCAATGGTGAGGCCAAAGGCAATGCGGGCATGATTCCTCCTGCTGTTCCCGCTATTTTACCAAAGCGTGGCAGAGAACGCCCTCAAGCGCCTTATTAATACGAATACTATATAATTAGACGTGGAGGAATGGGTCGAACGCGAATAGAGCGGGGAACGAACATATGGGATGGGAGGATATATATGGAGATTCCCTTAGCGTCTGGCACCTGGGCATCTGGGTATCGGGTATCTGGGCATCTGGCATCTAAGCATCTGGTACTAGGCCGGATTAGGAAATTGAGCATCTGGGCATCTGGTACTAGGCCGGATTAGGGATTTTATATGCGATCGGAGGGGAGTACTGTTTTTCGCGTTTTTTAGAGAGGTTCTAGTATTGGTACAGCTATGGTTATCGACAGTCATGTAATACAGTCATGTAACGTGGAGGCAACTAGAGGCAACGGGACATGGGCAACGGGCAACGATTATCTGACCTCGCGTCGCATGGGTGACTCGACCGGTAGCTAGTCCCCATTAGGCTTAGCAGATTTAGGGATCGCATATCAATACTACGATACTGCGATCCTTATTTCTAAATAATAACCACTTTACCAACTTATGCAAACAGTATTTTACGATTACGTGACGGTGCTACGTATTTCTAGTAAACCGACAATTTCTTATATATTTATTATTTATATATTTTATTATTTATTTAATTTCTTTAAGTTTTAAAATCTATTATATATATTATTTAAAAAAAAACCCCTAAATTTTATAAATAATTTATAAACTAATTATTAAATTTATATATAAAAAAAAGAAAGCTTTATAAAAAACTTTTTTTAAAAAAAGCTTAAGTAAAATTATTAGAAAAATAAAAGCTAAAAGAATTATATATTTTTTAATTAATAGCTTATAAAAGTAATTCTTTTTATAATTAAGAAAAGTTATTTCTTTTTATTTAAAAGTTATAATTAAATAATTGAAATATGTATTTTAAGTTTTAGTTCTTATAAATAAATATAAACTTATTTTAAACTTGTAATTCTAGCTTATAATTATAAAAAATTATTTAAATATAAGTTTTTTTTATTTAAAAAAATATTATATAGAAACTTTATAAATATATATAAAAATTAAAAATTGTTTTTATATATAAAGTTCTATAAATGTATTACTTATTATATTTATATATATAAATATTTTTTAAATATTAGAATTCTAAATAAGCTTTTTAATATATAAAAGTTATAATCTAATAATTATATATATAATTTTAAACAAATACTTTTATATAAAGATATTAAATTTATATATTCTTTTACTTATATAAACTAATTATAATATTTAGTTCTTTTTTAAATAATATATATAAGAATTTAAAAGTTATAAAATAAAATAAGTTTAATATTTATAAAAGTAATATAAGAAAATATAATTATTAAAATAATAAGAAATAAAAGAAAATATAATAGTTTTAGTACTTATAATTATAGAAAATTTTATAATAAAAATCTTTAATAAATAATCAAATTATATTATTATTAGGCTTTATTATAATTTTAATATTAAATAAGTTTATTTATTTTTAATAATAAAAATAAGTTATATTTATAAATATAATATAAGTAGCAAGTAATATAGTAATATTATAATTAATATATATTAAGGTAATATATATTAAGGCAATATATATTAAGATAATATATATAAATATGGTTTTAATATAAAAAGAAAAAAGTATACCTACTTTAAAGAAGGCTTAGAACTCCTAGAATTAACTTTATAGCTAACTTAAAATTATTATATAGTAAGAAAGCAAAGATGAATAAAAGCCTGTCACTTTTGAGCGAAATTATAAAGGTGTATTAAATTGCTTATAGAATTAAATTGCTTTGGTGTGCAACTGCCCTTTATATAAAATAAACATTTTGCAATATATGTTTAGTATTGCATTTTGTCCTTCGAAATCTCGCTTCGTATACGGGTTCCTGCTCAAAGTTATGCGATTACAGGGTATAAAGCTTGAAAGTTGCTCGCTGGAACTGCTTAAAACTTGTGGTGCCAGGCGTGCCAGGGACGCTGCTGGCAGGGCAACTCCACAAGTGCCGCAGAGAACTTTGTGAGCGCGAGCGAGAAATGCGATAGTTTACGAAGAGGTAATGAGAGCTCTATATGTAGTAGTAAGGCTTAGAAGGTCATATAAGAGATAAGAGAGTATGAGAGAAGTCATGTGATCTCTTGACTTCGTACCGAAAGACTTACACATCGGGGAAGAGCCGTAAGAGCCTTGATGTTATCAAGGAGTCGAAGACAGAGTCGTGGAGGCTGTTCTCGGCACTCTTCTTAACGTTTGAATTTCTTATTCACGTGTGCGCTATCGTTTTCAGTTCTAGAGATTCACGTCGTACACGTGGAAAGGTAGTCAGTCCACCTTGTAGTTTCCCAGTTCGAAGTATTTGCTTTCTAATCCGAACCTAGCCATATACAGCAACGCTCAGAAGAGAGATCTCTAGGCCACCAGTAAATATCGCAGACTCTTCGCTATTGGGATGAAGTTAAGGTACAACGGGAATACAAGCGCGAAGGAATAGGCGGCAACAATGACACACCAAGCGTAGTTGCCCCGACTTTGCAAGATTGGATTCAAGATAGCCGGGAGTACTGCACCTCCACACTCAGCAGCTATTAGAAAAGCAGAGCAGGTTTTTGTATAGGACCCCAGACCGCGAAGGCATATCGCGAAAGTAGTCGGAAAGATTGCGGACTATCGTTATGAGCATGCTTAAAAAGGGGATGGGAAAGGTAACACAAAACATCGTACCTCGAAGAAAAATGCAAGAATACAATTCACAATCCCAGGGTTTCCAATTAATCTTATTCCCAAGGCTGCTGTGATAACGCAGCCGACGGAGAAGAATAATAATACTCTTCTCGGCTCAAAGACGAGAAGAAATAGCGCTGCAGTGATGCGACCAGCAACCAAACAAGTATTGGCAATATTCTGATATCCGGGACCTAGACTAAATGGATATGAATAGTGAGCCAATAATTCGATCTGAGGCAAAGGGGAAGATACAGAGCCTCTCAGCTGTATCGAGTTGACAGGTATGTCCAACCGATGGGGCGAGTAATCTTCAGTTTTTAGAGCTTTCCCAAGACTACAAGGAACTACTTCAAGACTCATCTTTCTCCTCCAATCTGACGGTAGCTCGGCTTTTAACATCAAGAATGTTGATATGCTGTGTAACCAAAAATATCTTACCTTGGCCCAAGTGAAATTATGTAAACTGCTTCCTGGCCACCAGTGAAGCAAAAAATCGATAGCATCCCAAGTCCCAAGGTTAGGTAATTAACCCTAACATGCCCAGCAACTGTCGTATTGGTGGAGGGCCAACTTGATGCAACATTATCAAGCTCTTCGTCCCTGTTCTGTGTTAGTTTTCAAGGCGAAAAAACTTGGGAAGCTGAGAGAACATACGACGCTTCTGGCCATGCCAGATAATAGAAAGCAAGAGCTGTTGAAATACACAGGATGGCAATACCAAGATATACCCATTGAATACGAATCAGCAGCCATGGATCAGCGTTATACCGTATTAAAGTTCTTTGAGCCAAAATTGGAGATATAACAATTCCGATTGCTTGTGCAGCCTGTGATATGTTCAATCTGACCTCTGCCAATTGTGGTGGACCGCAAAGGGTTATGAATGAATAGACAGCCATGTCGAGTGTTGAGATCCCTAGACCAACGATAAAACTTGAAATGATAAAGAATGGATAAGATAACATAACGGCGGACGGCCAAAAGACCAAAACTCCACAACTGTAAATAGACAGACCAACAATGAAAGTGTATTTGAAACCCCATCTCTTCAATATTAAATGGCCGAAGGTAAGTGGGGCCACACAATAACTCCTGTTCAAGGTTAGTATATTGAATACTTCTGAAACCAAGAATCGCATACGCAAAGAACGAAGCATTTGAGCCTATCATTCCATTTGGTCCCATCTCTGCGGCTTGTTGAAATCGACAATTGATAGTATTGAGAAAACCGTACTCAAAACCAGAGAGAAATGAAAGGAGAGTTGCTAGTAATAGAAACAGCAGTGATTCTTTGTTGCCCATGCTGACCATGCTCTTGGGATGTCCAAAATGGATAAACGTCATGTCTAGGGACTGCAGCGTTTCCCCTGAAGGCATGGGTTGAAAACTTGATTCCATGTTTAAAGCATGTGGCGTCGTAATGAACTGTACCGAGTCCACACCGTCGCTCGTGTTGTCTCTGTGACTGGCCTCTGGAAAAGAAATTTCTTGGGCTATTGTTGGAAATGTAAGCGTGGGTTTCGTACTTGGTTCTACAACCTTCGAGGGCAATTCGATCGACAAATCAGATTTTTGACGACGAAATAGTCGTCGAACCCCAGAAATGAGTGGCTTCAGCGTCGGGATGCAGGCGCATATTATACGAATATTGACTTCAACAGCTGACCACATGAATGACAGAGATGCATAATCTGACAAATATTAGTGACCACTTGATATACACAAAATGTAAAATCTTCGGAGTGGGGTTTACACGCGAAATCCTGATTTCCTGTATCCCTGGGTAGTGTCTTATTCAAGGGGAGCACGCCTCGTGATGCCTGTTGAAGATATGCTATTCTCAAGACATCAATTACAGTGACAAACCCACCAAGTCCTATATGCCATGTCAGAGTGAACTACTATAAAACTGATGTAAAGAATACCAAACAAGACAACCACGCCAATCTTTTGCTTCCGCCGCAGTCGAAGTCCCGTTAATGTCGGTATTGGAAGAAATAATACGGCTAAATCGGTGATAATGTTGACTGGAGCTGACGCAAAGGAGAGACGCAGGATATTCGAGCATTTTGCCGTCTGTGGTAGAGGATAATCGAAGATTGTACTGAAAGGAGTGCATCGAAAAATGCTCAGTCCCGTCAAAACAAGTCCTGCAATATTCACAACAACCAATGTTGTTACAGAGGCATATCGGAAGACTTTTCGTGTGTTTTCTGAGACCTTCAGGTAAAACACGAGTATTGATGTTTTAGTAGCCATTAAGGCTGGATTCTACTTGCGCGTAAGCAACAAGTTATCGTGTGGATTCAGGGAGCTAACGTAGAGAACTGTGAACATATATTGGGACCACGCGAGAGGTTTTTGCCATTCAGTGGGTATACCATCATCTCGTTTGCCCAGACCATGACGGCTCGCAAAGCATATCGAAAAGGATAGTCCAAAAGCGATCCACTAGTACAACTTCAGTGGCATACGCGGGATCGATGGGTAACAAGTACTTACCCAGGCCAAAATAACAAAATAGTCGTCCCAAGAAGTCTTTCGGAGTATAGCAACCTTCGAGATCATTCGTAGGATGACGAACAAGAATGAAGCTATCACCGAGAACAAGGATACTGCAAAAACCACCCCAGATCGTGAATCCAATAGATCGTTATAATTCGTCATTTCCGCTTGACGTTTATCAGCCCGGATAAACCTCTGGCCTTTCAAAGACTGGCTTAATGAAGAGGAACTAAAGGCTTCAGCAATGAAAGGAGTCACACATATTTTGAGGTTAGAAAGAGGAGAGAGAGATGAACAGCCATTGATGACTTGGCTGAAAACATCATAAGCTGTGACATCGCCATTTCTAGTGGCGGCAAGCCACCGCATCTTTTCTGAACTAGTGTTAAGGCTTCCCGGGAGGCGCGTTTTTCTTTTATTGGTGGGTTGTGAGAACGGACCATTTGTCTGAGCGCACAGGGGCGAAAACATCGTCCGCGGACCGCGAGTTTCGGGTCGGCAGGCTTAGCATGCCTGGCCATCTTGGGCTCAGCCGGCCTTGTTAAAATATCGGGAGACGGTTTCCGTGGCACAGACATATTCTCGGCCCAGAAATTTCGGCGATCCTCCCCGGGTCCGTGGGATCGAAGAATTTGTGGCGTACGATAGGCAAAGTGGGTCCTCAATACCACTCTGCTAGTCAGGGAAGAACGAGTCTCCAATCACTGTGGCGCTGCAATTGTTGTCAAGTAATGGACGATCTGGGGCCGTTCCGCTCGCTCGGAATCCTGCCCCGCGAGCGGATGGCTGTGGGGCAATAGTGCTTCTCAACAATACAGGCCATGATTGGGTGATTCTTGCAGCTTTACGAGTCAGTCGTGTGCGAGAATCGGGAAGCGCCGAAGAATGGCTTGTGTTGTCGAGATGCTCACTCTGCAATTTCATCACATCTCCACAGAAAAAGCAATACTGATACCCCACACTAAAAATATCGCTTTCTACTATCAATTCCCTTCCTCTGAAAAGCACGAAGCTAATTGTAAGCTGGAATGAGGGTAAGGGTTTGGAGGATCCCTCAGAACAAAGTGCGCTAAGCACAGTATTACGCGTGATAGATGATGCTCCGCTCCATCTTTGCTGACATATGATTCGTTATTGATTTTAAAAATTGTGGTTATTCCGCTGTTCTAGGAGAAAAGACTATGACTTATTCGTCGAAATACCCAGTCGGTGGCGTATTGATGTGACAGGCTGTTCCCCGCAGCCGGGCATTGAGATATTTCAATTATCTTGCCGGGAAATTTGTGGCTCGCAAGATTCTTTTTGATGCAGGCGGTCAGACCTTCATGAAAACAATGCACCTGTATCCAACTTTCGACTTGACACATGCGCCGGCTTCGATGGAGAATGCGGGGAAACACGTGTCGCATAGGACGACAAAGGTGGTTTGTATCGTACAGGTCTCAATTGAAATAGTGGACTCCCCTTCGCACATCATGGCATCAACCTATCTCGCGACTACATTTACTTCTGCATCTTTATGTCTTAGGTTTTCAACCACGATTTCCGCGTTAGCCCTTATGCTCTGGATTCGTTGTCGAGATGTCGATGTCGCTCCTACCTGGCGCAAGTGAGCCAGATATCAACAAAGGGCCACAAATTCTTGGAGCATGCGGTGCTGTAACAACGCTGGCTCTAATATCAGTGTGCTCTAGGATATTTGTTCGAGTTAGAATGGTTAACAATCCGGGTCCCGATGTAAGAGTGTCGCCCTGTGGAAGTTTCAAGTATTCATGCTAACAATAGCTAGGACTATGTTATCCTTTTCGCGATGGTAGGGACAATCTCCGAGTGGCTGTTCCATAACATTTCTGATGCCATTGCAGGCTCTGTCCTTAACTGGAATGGGTATTATTATTCCGGAAGTGATGAATGGCGCCGGCCGTCACTCTGCGCATTTGGATCCTGCGAAGGCTACGATCGGCCTGAAGCTCAATTTCATAACACAGCCCATCTACCTTTGGGCAATCACCACGGTCAAAACTTCCATTGCTCTTTTCTTGTTGCGAATTGCACCAAACAAGTTCTATAAGAAGTTGTTATGGGGAATCAGCGCCTTCTTGATCATCTATACTGCAGTGTGTTTCATGACCATCGTATTTCAATGCAAGAACTTGGCCGTTCTATGGGATTTTGGAGTTAATACAACGTGCTGGACGGCAACTACCCTTAGAGGTCTAGGTTATACCAACTCCTGTAAGTAACAAGCCCCAAACATTAATCTCCTGACCACTCTCCTGGACGCTTGCTGATCTCCCCAAGCTCTAAACATCTTTACGGACGTGCTGTTTGCTGTCTTGCCTGTACCTATGCTATGGAATGTCCAAATTAACCCACGAACAAAAGTATCTTTGATCTGCATTATGGGCCTTGGAGTCTTGTAAGATTACCTTCCTCCCGGTAGCATAACGTATTTTGTTGAGCCTTTTTTTTTTACAGTGCCTGCGCAGCAGCTACGGTGAAATTATCCTTTCTCGTCAACTACGGCAAAACCGGGGATTTTCTCTGGGACTCGGCCAATCTTACCATTTGGACGGTGTAAGTTTCTCCTTCCAAAATCTAGCATTCGCCGAAGGCCAATGATCAATATAGGACGGAGTGCAATACGGGCATTGTCGCGGCATGTCTGCCATGCCTAAAACCACTATTCAAACGCATCCTTGAAAAGTCCTCTTGGGCATATGGATCCAACAAAAGCGATAATAAAACCAACAACTATCCCCTACATTCTTGTGGACCTCGCCAGACCCATGGCTCCCTATACCAGTATTCCGCCACTACAAGCCATGTCACGACGAAATCTTTAGGGAATAAAATCGATGGAATAGGAAAAAACTCCAGCGAAGAGAGCATCTGGCCCCTGCAGAGCAATGCGATTACCAAGACCATGGTGGTTACAGTAGACAGGTCTGGGTCAAGAGGACATTCGGAGAAGACACCTTGGGCGAAGGTCGACATATCACCTAAGAGGGACATTGAAGATATAATTTAGTCCAAGAATGAAATTCAAGATTCGAGTGCTTCATATGTGCCAAGAGTTTTTTCAAAAGGTCTAGGAGTATAGCAGTTTTGTTCATAGTTTACCTGCCTGCCATTAATCGATTCGTGGTTCAGAAGACTGAGATTGTTAAGTTTACTCTGCATCTGAAGTACTATTTGGGTACGATTTATTTCATTTTCGTGCTAGCTAGCAGCTGAGTGACACTTCCAGCTTCATGCCTTTTATTTTGTATTAATTGGTGTTGGTCAGGCGAAATATATTCGTTGCTGATTCGGACTTTGCTAGGAGCCGCTTTTCCCAACAAATTTCGAGAGTTGCTTGCATCCCCATTTTATACTTTCGACATTAATTACGCTTCTTCTCAATCCTGGGAGGTTAAATAAGGGCCGAGAAAGCATCGATTAGCTTTCATCGGTGGTGAATCGGGTTTTAAAAGGGGCTCTGGGCCAGACTTAAAGTGAAGCGTGACACGAGATCTGCCCATAACAGAGGGATGACTCTCGTGACAGAATATATCCCATGCTGAGCTTCGTTTCGAGAGATGAGCAGCTTATCACCACACACTGCATTAACGACCGAGGAGGTAGTCATCCATGCTGCGAGCAGCGGCCGCTTTAGCCTGGGTCGAGAGTGAGCCTGCCTGAGTATGGCCCGACCACAGCCTGAGCAAGCGCAAACTGGGCGTAAGCATGTATTTAGGCGCTTTTTGACGCCCTTAGGGAGCTGATTTGGGTCCCTCGAAGCCGACTTAAACTTTCTAAGTCGTGTGCATTTATTTTCTGCCTGAAAGATACTTCCCTTTTTGGCTCTCTTACTACTGAGATTATTTCACATCCATTTTTCCTCCCCCAGGTAGCTGACGTCTCCATATTCGCCTCTACTTCGAGGAAAGACTGAGTCCTACTCGGCAAGGAGCCTCTCCTTCATCACGACTGTTTTTATATGTTCGCATCTACATTGAGTGGTAAATCTCATAATCGAGAATATTTCATTGTTAGTTATGGGGACGTCGGAATACCACGTTGCACAATGTTTACCACGGTAGGCTGGTGTTACCCCATTTGATTTGAGGGCAGGCTATCGCTTGTGAACAAATCCTTACGCGATGCTCTCCGCAGAATTCAACATACCAGTAATCATATAAATAAAGCGCACCACCAAGATTCTCGGCCCTATATGCCACTTTGATATTTTTGTTTGGGCAGATGAAATTTGTATTGGTCAATCAAATTTCAATGAGCGAATTGGCCAAGTAGCCCTCATGGTTGAGATACTCCAAGGCTCACACCGTATGGGCACTCCTTGGAGAATCAGACGAACACGCGGACTCGGATCTAGAAGCTGCGAGACAACTGGCTATAAAAGGAAAGGCTCTGCCGATTGAAATCCACAATAACAAGACCACCATAGCTTACCTGTTTGATCAAGCTGGCCACCAACTTCTTACACCGCTATTGTAGCTGGGCAATCATCATGTCTCGTGAATAGTTTTTCAGGACGTGGGTTATTTCGTCTTATCTGTGGAGCCAATTTTGTGAGACACTCGTTCGCATATCCAGGCTTGTCTTGCTAGAGCGAGGGGATTCGGATATTGAGACTATGCTGGAGTTTGATCCCAGGTTTGACAAGTATCGGACGAATGCGATGGTTTGGCTTGAAACGATCCATCCCTCTGTATGGGTAGATCAATCCCCCCCCCCCAAGACTTACTATACGGGATTCTTCCTTCATTTGCCTCAATGTTCAGTAGCTTATCTGGGCAAATTCAGTGCTCGAACCCGCACAACAAGATTTTCGGTACAATGGGTATTATAGCAGAGTTCCACGACCTTGATAATAGCGAGTTTCCGATAAATTACAACGTCGACTCGGAAGTAACTCTTATGAGAGCAATAAAGGGTGTTCGCTACAAAAGACGAAACGTGAACCTCCTGTTTATTGGCTATATTAAGGATATAGGCGCAGGGGGGTTGTAGTAAGAAGTGAAAATCAAGGTCTCATTTTTATTATATTATATACATCCATTGCTTAGACAAGCAAAGAATGAATTCTGAGTCAAGGATCCCACGGCCCAGTAGCCCGTCGCCCTGTCAAAACCTCCGGCTCCCCTTCCTCTTTTACTAACAAGATATCTTCATGTCTTACCCCAAACTTCCCTACTAGGTACACACCTGGCTCACTCGTGAACGTCATTCCCGCGCTCAGTGTTACATTTACATTCCCCTTATTGAGGTAAGGACTTTCATGAGCTTTGATTCCTATCCCGTGACCTACCCGGTGTGTAAAAGCGTCCCCATACCCCGCTTTCTCAATTACAACTCTTGCAGCGATGTCGACGGATGCGGCTGTGTTTCTGGGCTTGAGGGCATGCATGGATTGTGTCTGTGCTTCGAGGACGATGTCCCAGACTGCTAATTTTTCCTCGGTGGCTGGTGAAAGATAAGAGATAGAAGAGGGTTCAGGAAAGAAGGGTGGGAAGAAAGTCCGGCAGATGTCGGAGGAGTAGCCGTGTAGATGGGCGCTGAGTTTGTTAAACTGGAGGGTAAAGTGCGGAGGGGGACAAACCCAACGTCGATGAGCACGAATGTCTCTGCTTCCAGCACTTTGCTCCCCTCTGTGCCGCCGTGGGGGTTGGAAGCATCTTCATCTTTTATTTATATCAGTGACAGGTTTGGAGAGGGGAAAAGGAGGGGAGGTACCAAAAAGCACGATATCAAAAAAAGGCTCCAGCCCAGCGGCTCGAAGGGTATCATCCAATACGTTCATGACCTCGTTCTCTGTCAAGCCGGGATACATACATTTTCTCATTGCACGGAGGGCTTCAACAGTCCCTGTGTTAACGGCCCGAATGAGCTCGATTTCTCGGGGGGTTTTCGTCTGCTTCACTTTCTCTACTTCGCCTCCTAGTCCCACGACATTGAAGCCGGAGAGGGAAAGGCCGCGTTGGATGAAATCCCTCATTTCGTCGTCGACCATCACCTTTGGGTTTGGTATAGTGTGAGCGTGAGAGGGAGAGGAGGCGTCCCAATTTTGCAATAGTGTTGAATAGGGATTCCAGTGTTCTTGCCAGGCAATGAACTCAACCTCTTCTTCGAAAGGCATACCCAACAACCTTGCTCTCTCGACCTCAAAACTCGGTGCTAGGAACCTAGTCGTAGCAGTAATTTCTCCGGTGCTTGAGTTGATGGGCTGCACGATCATGAGGAAGGGCCGCTCTTCCGGCTCCCATACTTCCCAGTCGGGCTGCGAGATATTGGCATAGTATTTGAATGTGTAGCCTGGTTCTACAATAAACGCATCTACCCTATCTCGGAGCAAGGCTTTTGCTAGGCTGTTACGCCGGGAGACGAATTCTAAGATCGGGAGGGGCGAGGCGGAGGAGAGGAAGGGGAGCCCGGTGTCCAGAAAGGTCTTCATGGAGCATTCTTGGAATTCTGCGACTGTTTGAGGGTGTGAAAAAGTGTAAAAACTCTCTGAATGGCCGAATTTTGAGATCTGGTACTAAAGTATTAGGGTTTATTGAGATGGTGTTTATGGGGACTTACAAGGAGGAGACATGTACTTGCAAACGCGCTTGCTGTAAACAAAACCTTTCTTGCGTTTAAGGAGAGAGTTGCGCGCCCATATCTGGTATCATGCTTCTCGTGGAAAAGTTGGTTCTTCTCGTCAACAACTTTATGGAGCTTCATTCCGAGAGTTGATCTCTGTCCATCAGCCATCTCGTGAGTCCTGAATTGAGGAGACGAGAAGTTGGTGATGATGGGTGGGGTAGGTGGGGTAGGGATTGGGTGGGGCGCTAAACACCTGAAATTTCAGTGAGTGGGCAGCGGATAAAGCCTATCTCAGAGACGGGCAAGAATCTTCAACGACGTTGTAACGTTCCTTCGTCCCACCTTTGCACCGCAGACCCGATTGCCGGGTATCCCCTGGTTTTGCGGGCAGCTCTCAATCAGATTATTTCCTTTGATAACGACTATGCAGCAATGAGTAAATGCCCTGTTTCAACCGCGGCAGCATTACTCGCGGTTGCGATAAAAGTTCCACGACGGCCAGTGCTTTTATTTCCTTTTCTTTTCCAACTTTTTTCCTCGCGTTGCTTTCCCTCAATCGAAAATATTTGAGCTTTGATATGGAGTCTATTGCAGTGATCGCTTCTGAGCCGGCTGGCAAAGATGCATTGGCCTCAATCACCAAAGCTGAGGCCGTTGCGGAGATGGCCCCAACTTCCAATGAAAAGGACATTGGGGAAATCACCATTAGTGAAGGCAAAACAGCCTACTCCAAACTCTCTGTAACCCTCATGGTCGTCTTCTCCGGTCTCGCCATCGGCTCCGATGGCTTCAACGCATCGATAATCGGCAACTTGTCTCTCATCTTCGGCATCTTGTATCCGGACCTCTCGACAACTATGTATTCTCGCCTTTCAAATGCCTTCATCATTGGCATGATTGTGGGCATGTTAGGATTTGGGTATATTTCTGATAGGTTGGGGAGGAAGAGTGGTGCAGTGTTGACGACGCTCATTCTTGTCGTGGGCATTGCGTTGAGTGCTGCGAGTAGTGGGAAGGATGAGTTGGGCATGTTTTGGATGTTGGTGATTAGTAGAGGTATTGCGGGGGTTGGTGCTGGAGGGTGAGTCCCTTTATGTTTATCAATGGACTTGACTGACGAGGTGTGTTTCGTGAAGAGAATATCCCGTCTCTGGAGCCGGCGCAGCCGAAGCTACAGATGAAGATTCAGGAGTCCGTAAGAATCGTGGCTTCATCTTCGCTCTGATCGGGGATCTCTCTGCGACTTTTGGATTCGTTTTTGGCGGCCTCGTCCCTCTCCTTCTTATTCTTTGTTCCCACGAAAATGAGAACCATTACAATGTCGTCTGGCGACTGTCCCTGGCTCTTGGGCTGATCCCTCCTATTTCCATTTTCTGGTTCAGGTACAAAATGGCAGTCAGTACAGCCTATCGAAAAAGCGCCGCAAAGAAACAGCGGATTCCTTACTGGCCAATCTTCAGGAGGTACTGGCGGCCACTATTAGGTTGCTCATTGGGATGGTTCCTGTAAGTCCCAGTACCGAAATAAACGCTAAATTCATACTGACTGTTCAATCAGATACAACTATATCTCTTACCCATTTGGCCTTTTCGCATCCACCATTCTCACTCGCCTCAACGTCGGCTCATCCCTCACCAAGAACATGGGCTGGGGCACAGTCATAAATTGCTTCTACATCCCGGGCGCCTTCATTGGTGGTCTTCTTTCCGATCGAATTGGACGCCGAAGAACAATGGCACTCGGGTTCTTTCTACAAGCAATCCTAGGATTCATCCTCGGCGGCGCCCTAGGCTCAATCCAGAGCATCCTCCCCCTCTTCATTATCTTCTACGGTATCTTCCTCACCCTCGGCGAAGTCGGCCCCGGCGCAACGATCGTTCTCACGTCGTCCGAATCCTTCCCGACCTCTATCCGCGGCCAATGTCTCGGTCTTATCGCTGCCTTTGGAAAAGCAGGGGCGGCGATAGGGACCGCTGTGTTTGCTCCAATTCTAGCGAGTTTTGGGGATGTAGATGGGGGGTATAAAGGGAATCAAGCGGTTTTTTTGATTGGGAGCGGATTTGCAGCGGCGGGGGCGATGACGAGTTGGTTTATTATTCCGGATATCAGTAATAGGTTAGAGAGCGAAGATGAGGCGTGGAAGGAGTATTTGAGAGAGAAGGGGTATGAGATTCAGTGGGGTGATGTGGAGAGTGAGGACCCGGAGGGGTTGAGGTTGGATGGTGTGAAGAGCTAGATTTAACGAGTTGATTCTGGATTGTTTACATGTGAGGGAATGAGCCCCATAACTAGTTATTATATAAAGTATTAAAATTACCGAATTTATAGCATTAAGGCTTAGAAATACCGATTATTAAAATACTTTATAGAAGTGCTTTAATTATAATTCTAAGTCTAATATTATTAACTTAAGTTTAATTTATAAATTAATTTATATATATATATTATAAAACTTATAAATATTTATTTTAAATTGAATTACAAATAGTTTTAATAACTAAACTTCATAATCTTGAAATTTTATATTATTATTATAATTATTATATAATATTTTTACAAATGTATTAATATATTTAAAGATTTATAAATTTTAAATAATTATTAAATAATTTCCTTATATTATTATATTTTTTAATACAAGTATATTATTTCATTTTCGTATTAAATATATTCAATATTTCAAATTTTTGAATTCTTGTATTATTTATATAATTACTTATTTTATATTAAGAAAATAAAATAAAATAAAAGAAAGTATTTTAAAAGAAAGTTCTTTATAATATATATAAAGCTTTTAATAGCTTTTTAAAAAAAAATTCCTTAAAAATAGCTTATTATAATATATAAATAGCTTTTTAATAGTTTTTTTTAATAATTTTCTAGAAAATAGCTTATTTTAATATATAAAAAGCTCTTTAAAAGAAGGGAGGGAAATAGCTCTTTAGTAGCCCCTTACAAGGCAGTATAATAGGGATTTTGGCTTCAGGGTCACGTGGCTGCGCCACGTGACCTCCGGACGTCCGTACAGCCCGCGGTCCGCGTATATTACCCCATTCTCCTTCTCTCTTTTAGAATTAAATCAACCTTTACTCTTCTAATTTCACGTCTCATTCGTACGCTGTAATCCCACGCTATGGAAGCCCATTCTCTCTATATATTACTCCTTGTTTTAAATCCCCATTATAGCAGCTCCCTGCAAAACCTAAAGAGCTCCCTAGGAAATAGCTCTCTGGAGAGAGTTCTTTAAAACATAGCTCACTATATTATAGAGAGCCCCTTGCAATAATACTAATTAGCTTATTTTAGTATATTACCTAGTTTTATTTACTAGCTATAGTAATTACGAGCCTTACTATAATTTTAGCGCAATTGCATGCCTAATTTTAAGTAGTATATAATTCGTAGCTTTCGCAGCTTTGGGTATTTAGGTTTTAGGTTTTCGGTTTTTTGGTTTTCGGTTAATGACCCTTTATCGGAAGCTGCAGCCCGCATCTCCGACGGCCAATTCTCCCCATGAAAGTATCTTTTCAGGCCCAGAATCCCGCCGCACGACCCTTGAAATTGGTGTAATTCCGCAATGTTTGCTCCTTTCCAGTTCAATCGCTTTCGACCTCGCTGTCAGCAATCCTGGTCTCGCAAGGCACACCGCACTACTGCAGATGTCAGCGCAGTCACATACTGGCTTTCCCCTTCCATACACGATCAAGTACTACACCTCTAGCAACCTTACCCGGTTCAGCGATGGCAGTCACATGAAGTTCTGGGGATCGATGCCAGGGCAAGCGAAGGTGTTCCTGTGCTATCTTCTCGGCGCGTAGCTGCACCGGGAAGGTCATAAACATGACCTGCATATACCCTGCTCAACAAGGAAAGTCTTCACCTACTTCGTACCGACTTCTTGGACTTTGGCGGCGGCCAGACCATATTCTGATGGTAGGGTTCTAGACTTGGAATTTCTTGAGGCCGATAAGTATTGATGTCCCTTCATTTCGAATCTTATCCTCTCAGCCCTACTCTTGAGAATTGTCCTTCTTGTTCCCTTGCAAGGTAAGAAATTCACCATGAAGACGTCACTTTTCTCCACCGTGGCTCTCCTGGCGGCAGCTGCTTCAGCTGTTAGACTTGGGAGACCAGTCCCGCCTGCTCTGGAATTTTCAGCGGCGGATGCAGCAGCGGCAACGATCGGAAACGGCATCTTTCAGCAGCTCCTAGACCACACCGATCCTTCCAAAGGAACGTTCTCCCAAACTTACTGGTGGAGTTCTCAATTCTGGAATGGACCAGGTTCCCCCGTGAGTATTTGTGCACCCTTTGAGTGAAGATAGCTAACTCACAAACCTAGGTTGTGATATTTACTCCAGGTGAACTTGCTGCAGCAAAATTTACCGGATACTTGACAAATCGAACCATTGCCGGCGCTTATGCTCAAGCTATTGGTGGTGCAGTTGTGATTGTAGAGCGTGAGTACACTGAAACCTTGGCACTGAAAACAGCTTCCTAATGAGGATGCAGACCGATACTGGGGCAACTCAAGCCCATATGCATACTTGGATACCGAGGCTCTGCAATTATTGACATTAGATCAATCAATTTCTGATTTTATCTACTTTTCAAAAACTATCAACATGCCTTTTGACACCAACCATAGTAGTAACTCGTAGAATGTAGTAAGATTTTTCGATTTCTAAGGTAGAATAGGGTGCTAACGCGCAAAAGCCATGGGTTTTCAGTGGAGGTTCGTACTCAGGCGCGCTCGCAGCTTGGATCGAGTCCACTCAACCGGGGACGTTCTGGGCCTATCATTCCTCCAGCGCACCCGTCGAAGCTATCGACGACTACGTGAGTCCTCCCATCAAATTAAGTGTTCCCTCGGCTGATAAATTTCGAGTGGCAATACTTCTATCCAGTTCAGCAAGGCATGCCTAAGAACTGCAGCGCCGATGTTACCCTCGTCATTGATCACATCGATCAAGTGTTGACGAAAGGTACGGCCGATGAGATCCACGCCCTCAAGGACATGTTCGGACTCGCAGCACTTGAGCATAATGATGATTTCGCTGCTGTTCACCCCATTGGCCCATATCAATGGCAAAACAGCGACTTCTACACAGGCTACAGCAAGTTCTTCCAGTTCTGTGACGCTGTCGAGAATGCGGTCCCTGGATCTGGCACTGTAACACCCGCAAGTGGCGTTGGTCTTGAGAAGGCCCTGGCTGGTTATGCGAATTGGATCAAAACTAGAATTCTCCCAGGCTGTAAGTCTTCTTCCAAATCTCATTCAAGATGCGAGAGCTGACTTCATTATTCAGACTGCACAGAATACGGCTATTTGGATCCCACTGATCTTAGCTGCCTGGACACATACAACACCTCCAACACCCTCTACACAGACTACAGCGTCGGTAATCCCTGGGATAGACAGTGGAATTGGTTCCTTTGCAACGAGCCATTTGCTTACTGGCAAGAGTACGTCCCCTTCATTCCAGGATGTTCTTAAATCAATCTTACTAACGAAACAGTGGTGCACCAAGAGACTCCAACCATTGTCTCACGCCTCGTCACGCGAAACTACTGGCAACGAACCTGCGGTCTCATGTTCCCAGAAGTAAGTGGCTATACCTACGGTAGTGTGAATCCAAATATCAACGTTCACTCCACCAATAAACATACGAAGGGATGGAGACTCGATAATACTACACGTCTGATCTGGACTAACGGCGAGTTTGACCCCTGGCGCACCTCCGGCATGTCTTCACAGTTCCGACCCGGTGGACAACTGGCTTCAACTCCAGATCACCCGCTCCAGATCATCCCAGGCGGCTTCCACTGTTCGGATCTGATTTTGAAGAATGGGGCATTAAATGCGGGTGTGCAGAGTGTTATTGATAACGAAGTTGAGCAGATTAAGACTTGGGTTGCAGAATATTACACAAAGTAATGGGGTTTTGTACGGGGAGACAATTTACACTTTTGTGGCTCGGGGAAGAGTATAAAACTTCTACAACTGCTGCTCTAGGAGTGATGTCCATCGCGTGGAAATCGACGACGCGATCCTATCCTCCCGGGCAACGACGTCCTGTCCTGGTAGAGTTGGATACCCTTGGTCAGACAGGAAACTCTGAGCTTTTACAAGTATCGGCGATGTTCACCCACTACAAACGAAGATTAATATTCCGCTCAAGGAGTTCACCCTTCTATTGCCAAACACACTATTGCTGAATTTGCTGTCAAGTCTAAGAACCAAATTATATCCTCCGTATCTCTCTCTTGCTTCTTATTCTACATAAACGCGGTCACTTGCTTCACTTGTCAAATTCAATGTAGGTTCTGATAGGCACGATAATCAATTCATAGACAATCGCGCTAATTAGCCGACAATCGATATTTATCGATAATAATTCGAAATGTCTCGGGACAATCCATTCCACAGTCCGACTGTCCCCAATTCCACCGATAAGCTAGGCGGTGAAGCGTGTTTCAGCGCTTTGACAGCTCCCCCGCAGCCCACTTGTACCCCTATCGGAACACCAAAAATTTGTAATTTCTTTAAAGTGCTTAGAAAATTTCAAAAACTTCTAAAATAACTAAAGTAAGGTCATAAATTATAATTTCGACTTGTTTTCTGTATTTTATAATATAATTTTAAATAATTAATTAACAAACTCTTTTATTATTAATATATTATATAATATCTTAATTTAATATAATAATTTTAGTAATATTTCAAGATAAATTTATATTAGTTTAATATATTATAATTAAGACTCTCTTGCAAATAGCGACTTCATGTGTTGACCAAAAGAGCCTGCGTATTACACAAGAGTACCAAGATCCCCACAAAGTCAGCACATCTCATTCAGTATCCTTCAACGCCGTCATCGCTTATACAGCGTGAGATATGCTTCTGATCTTCAACATCGTGTGACCCTCGAGCGCTGTGCTTTCCACCTCAATGAAAGTTTTGCAACCATAGGCCTCTATTTTATTGAATTAATTTTAAGAATATTATTAATAAATTTAAAGCTAATAATTAAACCAAGCTATTAATATTATAATAAGAGTCATAATTAAATAGAACTAGGCATTTAATAATAATAAAGTAGGTGATAGTAAGGTTAGTAACGACGAGATCGCAATCTCGTAACTTAGCTTACTTAACCTTAATGGAGCAAGTGGGGGATTATTTCCCGCGTCTCGTGATCAAGCTTGAGTAGCTTCGGCCTGGCTGAGAGGCAAGCGTCATCGGGCTGATCACCTGCACTTCAACCTCCACGATAAGACCAAAGACACTCTTCAACTCCCACATCATACTTTGAACACCAAACAAAACACGATCTTCGCAACATGATGTTCTTCAAGTCAGCCTTAACTCTCTCGACGCTGTTGGTCCTGGCATCCGCGATGACGCTCGAGCGCAGCGGTAAGAGCTGTCTGAGATTTAGCTGGGAACAATCAATCACTCATGCGATAGCAGTTCCAGCTCACGAACAGATGTCCATTCCGATGGCCACCGGTGCACAGGCGGGCCGCGCCAAAGGTACGCAGCGTCTATCCACCTCTAGGGTCCATCCCACTGTTCCTAATCAGCCCACAGCCCCATCGTTCACGGTCTCCAGATCATCCGATTGCGAGCAGGAGGACGAGGATGACTGCACAGAGTTCTGCAGCCTCTTGGAGCAGACAGCAACATGCCGCGCCAACGGAAACAAAGTGACTTGCTTCTGCAAGGGCGGAAAGAGCGAGTCGAACTGCGAAGAGAGATGTTTGCTGTGTATGTCACGTGAACCCCTCCTTTCGGTCATGCCGAGTGAACGTGTCTGACTCAATTGGCGTCCCAGGCATGCCCGATAAGTCAGCTTTGGAGGAGGCGAGTCGCCTCTTTAAGCTCGGGGGACCGAGGATCGAGGAACTGTAAGTGGGTAGAATTGGTTGGATCCAGTGTGTCGCGGAAATTACGATGGCATGAATTTCTTTGTTCTGATCACAGACTTTTGCGCCACCCATGCCGAATTGTCACCTGAGCGTCGTTGAGGGGAGTCGAGTCGTAGTTATAGCTGCGGCGTTGCTCACTCAAAGCAGATATGGAGATTTCTCAAACTTGAGCATACTACTTATATAACCTCGACCGACAATTTATCCTACTAGAGTCTTTTTTCGTCTTTGAACCTGAGTAGTCGCCACTCTAACCTGAGCTAAGCCCTAAGTCCTAAGCACGCTAATAAGTCAACTGGGTTTGCTTAGAGAGGTTCTTTTTCGGCCCTCTACGAATCGGCTATGTTTTCTATATTACATTATTTATATTTGGAATTATACAGATCCTAGTTGCCTGTAATATAGTTTTCTTTTGTACCAATCGGATCAATATATTGGGGGGGGGGGGTTATTGTATCCTAGCTTTAAAGTATTGATTTTAGAAGGGCATTACTCCGGAGCCTCAGCTGAACCCAAACCCACTAGTGGCTTGGAAATGCATATTTATTGGCTACATCTGAAACCTACAAAAGAACCGAAGGAGAGAAAATTTTCAGCTGAACCTACTCGCAGGCAATTCCGCACCCGGTTCGGGCCAGCTCGCTATGCTCGCTGGTGACACCAATTCCGACATCCCAGTAACTCCGACATTGATTTTTTAGTCTATATATTAGATTAAAAAACAACCACGTATCTAATTAAGATAAATTTTTTTATATAATTATAGGCTATAATAGACTCTATAATTATATAATAGAATATTTTTTCATATAATTATATAGTATTATACTATAAATTAAAACGTGATTTTTTGAATTCTTTTCGGAAAGAACTCGCTTAATACCAAAGCCAAAAAATACCAAAAATCGCAGGGTATTAATTATATTAATTACTAATTTAACTACTAAATCAACTACCAAATTAACTACTATACCGAAAGCCATATATTGAATATTGAGAAGACAGGTTAAAGAGCTTACTAGGAGGCTCCGGAAGATACTAAAGTATAAGATAAAGCTATATTTAGAGAAGGAGGCTCGAATATAGGAGGCCCTAAAGGTATACTATAACCTATCCGAAACCGAAATTACTAGCTTGCGGATTATAGCAGGCGTATTTAATATCTCTTATATAACTTTATATAGAAGGGAATAGGAAGTAAAGCCTCTTTTGGAGAATAGAGGATATAATATGCGGCTAAATAAGGCCCAGGAAATAAGCCTAATATGATATATAGATATAGCTATTAAGAGGAGTTTCCCGCTTTGGTATAATATAGTTACTCGGACTACTATGCAAATTCTAGAGGCTATAGGCCTAATTAATAGAGATAATAATTGCCTGGGGAATAATTAGGCTTTTCGTTAGATAGAAAAGCAAAAAAAGCTTAGGAGATATTATACTATATATATAAAGCCTATAGATTATTAATGGAAGGAGGTACTTACTCCAGAACTAGTCTTGGAGATATTTATATAGCTCTAGGCTATTTTAAATAAGTATGAAATATAAATATTTAATATATATAATATTAATAAGATTAGTTTTTATATTAGGTATATTACTAGTTTAATAGTAATTATATATAAGAATATTCGAGAGATATATACTATCTAATAATTATATTTAGTACTTTATACTTCGTACTTTATACTTACTAATTAATAATTATAGGTTTATATTAAGGATCTAGCTAAACGAGAGTTAATTATAGTAATAGAGTATATTTTAGCTAAAGGTTTCGTAATTAAAGCCTTTATTATTATATCTTATAAGGTATTTAAAGAGAAGATATTTAATAATAATCTCTCTAATAGTACGAAAATCGCCTAGAGTAAAACAGGCTATATAGATAATAAGCTAGCTATGGCACTTCTACTATTAAACCAAGAATATATGAAAAGGCAAATATTATCTTCTTATCTTTAATAATTATAGTAGCTATATAACTTACGAATTTATATCTATTTATAAGTAATTAGATATAATACCTTTCTATTTATTAGTATATTTTATATACTTCCATTAACTACTAGATATAGGCTATTTCTTATAGGAGAAGTACTAGTACAAGTACTCTATTAAAGATAGAGTTCGTACGGGGAAAAATAACTTTATAAAGACTATATTTCTTTAGGTATTAACTCAAATTCGTAAGAAAACCTTTACTAAAGGAAATATCTAATTATTATTTAAAAGAGCAGGTATTTACTCCCTTAATCCTGAGCTAGTTCTTAGGGCTATAAAGCTTTATACTAAGAAGAAACTAGGTAATTAGGAAGTCAAAGGACGGCTTTATACTTTTAATAAAAATTACCTTAATAAAGCTATTTATATACCTGTATTAAACGAGCCCCAAGCTAGAATGGAACCTCCTAATTACTTAATATAGGAGAAATAGCCTAATGCCTTTCCTGATTTTGAGCTCCTTTATTCCGATATTTCTTTAAGTAATAATAAAATAGAGCTTCCTTTACTTAATTAAGCTCAAAATCAAAGTACTAATAATACTAATAACCTTATTTAACCCTTTTCTGAGACTAATATTACTGATTATAGTAAAGAGAACTCTGGAATTAAGGGTCTTAATCTATAATAGTATACTAAAACCGCTTTTATATAGATCTCCTATAGAGTAAAAGAGATCTTTATATATATAGATTTTCTCGAAAAATATAAAGATACTATATTATTTCCCTCTCGAAAGCTTTTAAATAAGAAATTCAGGAAAGGGGCCTAAATTAAGGCTAATTTGGGAGCTATTGCCAAGTAGTAGTTACGGGATAAGGATAATCGAGATCTCTGGGCTAGTAATTCCCCTTTTATAAATAAAAAGGATTACAAATAATATATTAAACCTGTTTATAGAGGCCATATAATCTTCTCTACGGAAGCTCTATATAATATTAAAGCTAGAAACGATAGGGAAGAGGAAGACGAACTTACTAGAACGAGGAAAGAGCTAGAGCTAGCCAAATGCCAGTATAAAGTAGTAATTAAAAAGGAGAAAAATAAGATTAGAAGGGAGGTTAAAAAGGCTTAAAAGGTAGAAGATAATCGAAAAAAGAAGGAATAGAGGGCTAAGGAGAAAGCAGAAAGAGATGAGAAGAAGAGAATAGAGGAGGAGGCCAAGGAGGCTAGAAGACAGGAAGCTTTAGTACAGGGAAAGAAGCTACGGGGCAGAAAGTATAAGATTAAAGCTATTAATACTTAGATAATACAGGAAGATATATAGACTTCTAATTTTAATAGTAATATATAATTTAATATTAATAAATATGGTAATTAGTTAATATATTATAAACTAATTTTAATAGGGAGTATGAATATTATTATAATTTTAAAGTAAATTATTAATAATTTATACCAGAACCTTTTTATTTCGCAAAAAGCTCTATTAGGCAATTATAGACTTAATTGAGGGCTATAATAATCTAATTTTATTATTTCGATATTTTATATAGTTAATTTAATAATTAATATTTTATTGCAAATGTCGGAGTTGGTAGTATGTCGGAGTTGCTGGGTCCGACTTGCTAGTGCAAGTCGGCCCCAGCAAAGCGAGGAATTGCCGACGGGTATCCTTCTCTTCATCACTACCAGCAACAATAAATGGCTCAAATTTGGTTCTCTGTTTTCTCTGAGGCTGGCTTGCATCTCTCTAATTTGCTCACAGCCCTCGGTCTCGCTATCCGGGATACCTTGATCCTCGAAGGCTATCTCAAAATCCTCCCAATTCTAAACCCGCTCCGTTCGCTCATGCTCCCAACACATTTTATCATTGCAAGTTTTTATTTGCAGGGGAGACATTTTAGGATCGCTTATCAATATGCCTGTCGTGGTTCTGCCGATAATGGAGAGGGACTCATATTATGTGGTTATGTTATCTGGTTAATGATTTATATGGGCGGGGCTTTGCTGTGCCATAACATGACGATATGTTTTTGGTTTCTTTGGAACATTTCATCGACAGTACTTCCATTTGTTGTGCTTGTTTTACTGCTAGCATATACCTGGTATTATCTCGATGGGAGGCCTCTCAGATATGTGCAGTTGGGCCTTTCGATATTCCTCAGAATCTCGTACCATTTGATAGGATATAATAGTCGGACTTGACGTCGCGCTAAAGGGGCCCTTCCCTTTAGTCGGGGAAAGCAAGTTGTCCCGGGAAAGCAAGTTGTCCCGGGAAAGCAAGATGTCCCGCACTAGCCTTTTTTGCCTTCTAAAAAACAATATTAGGAACTAGCTATAGAAAATCTAATTAATACGTTTTATTCGCGATCTTATAGTTACCTATTGCATAATTAAGGGCTAAAGTTTTAAGTGAAAGAATAAAAATTTATAATTAAGCAAAAGTTGTAGATCTAATACTCGCGAAATGGTCGCGAACAAATAATTCTTACAATTTTTGTATTTCTCGCGATTTTATTATTAAAACCTTAATAACTCTCTACCTACATCTTTTTTTAAAATTTAGAGAATCGTATCTAGTTTATAAGGCTTATATTTTTAATTCTATTACTTAGAATTATTTAAAAAGGTTAATGTTTCAAGTTATTAAGGATTTTATTTGGTGCGGGACATCTTGCTTTCCCGGGACAACTTGCTTTCCCCGACTAAAGGGAAGGGCCCCTTTAGCGCGACGTCAAGTCCGACTATTATGATCCTTGCTTCCAAAATCGTTACTCCGGCAATAATTATCTTTTTATACAAGATATGGAGGGGCCTTTTCTCTCGGAACGAAAATCATTACTACGAAATACTTCGATACGAACGATTTTCGGAAAAGCGTTCCATACAGCCCCTCCAGCTATCAAGACCCTTTCCCTTTGGACCAGTCAAGTGCGAATTCTCCATACACAGAATCGACTCTCGCCCTTCATACGAGGCCATTTCCTATACATTGGGAGATCCGAGTCAAAGTCGGTCCGTTATAATCAACGGTTGCAAGTTAGAGGTTAACTCAAACGCATTCGACATTCTCCAAGATAGAGCAACGTTCCTGAAAACCCGGAAGATCTGGATAGACTCCATTTGCATTAATCAAGTCGATAAGGAAGAAAAGAGTGTTCAAATCCCCTTGATGCGTGAGATCTACAGCCGGGCATCTCGAGTACTAGTCTGGCTCGGCTCTCAGCCCGATTCCAGGATAGCCATGGGTTTCATCTCCAATCTAAACAGAAGATTAAGATTTGGTGGGCTGCAAGGCCCAGAGCTAAAGACAATATTAGAAATCGGCTCCAAATCTCCAAAATGGCCTGCTCTGTTTTCGCTTCTCAATCATCAGTACTGGACACGGAGTTGGATCATCCAAGAAATCGCCGTCGCAGAGCCAGTACATATTTTCTACGGCGGCTCAATCCTCCCTGGGAATACTTTGCCTCAACTATAGAGATGCTCACCACTCAGGATGTGGGCAGTCTGTTTATCCCCTCATCTCCCGTGACTGCACCGCGGCAAAGATTCCGAGTCCCTATCCGCGGAACAGATTGCATACGACTGATTTCACGCATCAGATCTAGGATCCAACAAGAATCATGCATGGAACTAGTTGAGCTGCTACAGTTTATCTCCAGATCCGATGTAACGGAGGCAAAGGATAAGATCTTTGCTTTACTTGGCATAGCAGATCCAGCAGCCCAAAACTCTCTTTCAAGAATGTATAATAAGGAAGTGCGAGAGATATACGTGTTGGCAACACGCCACTTGCTCTCTCAACAAGAACCGTCAAGGGTGCTGCATCATGCAGGCATTGGCCACCACAGAATTACAACGGGTCTTCCTTCATGGGCTGTTGACTGGAACTCTACGTCCCCGTTCGAAATTTCTGGAGATCTCCAGAGAGAGTTCCGTACAGGGCATCTGGAGCAAGCCTGTGGCAATTCAGTACCCATCCCACCATTCCAATCATCGAAATCAGAGGACAATACATCGATGAGATTGAACGTTGTGGAAGGGTGATGGGAGATCAAGCTATAGACAAACAAGCTGATATGCTCGAAACGACTGAAAGCCTGTTGGCACAACTAGACGCTATCTCATTAGCGAGGAGTACCGCAATGGCCAGTGCCGCGATGAAGCGTTGTGGAGAACGCTGATGGGTGACCATGGTGACGAGACGCGTCCTGCACCAGCTCCTTACAAGAAAGCTTATGAGGCGTGGAGGAGAATATGTATAGGTCTTCGCGGTCCCCTCCTAGACAATAAAATCTCAGACCAAATATATTGGGAGATATATCCCGGAATTCCGTGTGAAAATCTTCCGGCACGAATCTTGGCTGATCGTGTTGCGGCTAGGACGTTTTATTTTGGAATAGCACAAGGGTTGCTTCGGAGGAAGTTTGCGGTTTCTAAGCAGGAAGGATATTTTATGCTTGTGCCTGAACTGGCACAACCTGGCGACTTGATATGTATTTTTGGCGGGGCTCAAACACCGTTTTTGGTTAGGGGGGTGGGAGAGCATGCGATCGGAAGCAGGAGATATGATAGGTATGAATTGGTTGGAGAATGCTATGTTCACGGAATTATGGATGGGGAGGCTGTTTCTGATAAAGATTCCGAAATATTCATTCTTGTCTGAATGACTATTTAGGGTTTAACAAATCTTTATACCAAAATCTATCATCAGGGTGGTGCAAAATCCCGCCGATCAGCTCAGAGCGAAAGGAGAGTGGCGATGCGTTATATTTCCTCTTTCAGCGGTTCATCGCGCATACTAGGCCTACATTCTCATAGGTACTCCGATACTATGCTGAGTTCGCTCGGCACACTTACTTCATCCCTACTTAACTGAGTTATTCCAGGCCTGGCCGCTAAAAGGGTCCGTCAACTTAAAAGTACATCCATATTCCCACCTGACTGACCGTAGATAAAATATAATGTTCTTCTATAGTTCCGTGGAGTGGCTGCAAACATGCCATATTGCTGGCCCATGACAAGAAGGATCCAGGAAGGGGGAATTCTTATTCTGAATTTCAGGGGGGTTCGTAAGTAAACATCATAAGTGAGCACCTTGTTTCATTTCACTTTGCAGAAATGTGGTGAAAGGTTAAGGCTTGATCGTGAAAGTGATGGGAAAATGGCACTGTGAGGCCATTTGTACTTGGTACTATAGCAAATTCATTATTCTGCTACCAACAGTCTCTCTCGACTTTATTTGAAAGAGGAAGAAGAAGAATAATAATTATAATAAAAGGCCATCCCTTAGGGTTCAAACATATAACAAAGTAGTAATTGACTATATAAAACCCATTATATTGCAAACGTCTCTACTTCTCGTATTATATTCCTCTAGCTTTGACCCCGAGTTTTGTAGCTTTCACTTTTCTCGTTTTTCGTTATCTTCAATATACGCTCCCTGCGGAAGCCTGAGTATGTTGTCCAGCCCAGTGAAACTAGCAAGTCAATATTGAATAATATAAAGTACATTGTTAAGCCAACTGATATAGCTATAATAATATTCGGAGTCCAAGTTGAAGCATCTGTTATATTTGGAATTGTTTAGAGTGCCTGGGTCCGGTTAATAATACGCTTTTAATAGAAGTTAACTAGGCAACGCTCACTATATAAAATTCTAGTAGCAGATAAAAGATGCTCACACATATAAGAAATTTCTTGCGTTCTGGGCAAGTCTTGTCGACAAAGGACTCTCGACTACAGTACTAACGTTGAACAACTTGTCATGAAATATTAGCGGAAGAGATAGAGACATCGAGTATATATTGAGACTCACCCCGCCTCGAAGTATATTAGCGCTGTCTTTTTGCCTTTCAAAACTCTCTTTCATGCCCACAGGCTGTGCCTAAAGGCCCTTATATTTCCCTAACTTAGCAGGATATACAAATATTGGCCCCGAAATATTATCCTAGTAATTTTTTTTAAAAAATATAAAGATAAGTTCTCTTATACTAATTATAATACAGAAATACTAACGAGAGCTCTTAAAGTTATTATTATTTAAAAAAAAACAACCAGTTATATTAATTCTTATATAATATAATATTTATATGAATTATAAACTAATATAAGAATATTTGAAATATTATTTCAAAAGATATTATTAATAGTAGAAATTATATTTAAAAGCAAAAATTAATTAAAAGATTTTTTTTAATAATAATAATAATAAAATAATAATATTAAAAGAATTTAAAACAAGTGATCTCTAAAAAAGTATTTATTAACTAATTATTTAATTGCAATTACTTATTTTATTAGCTTTATAATATTTAAAGATTTATTATAAAGAATTAAAACTATAATTAATAAAAGCAAATTCAAACAAAAACATAAAATAAATATATATTTTAGCTTTTAGGTAATAATATTCTTATTTAAATATTAGAGATTTTTATTAAATAATAAATAAAATAATTTAATTAAAAGTTTAAGTTTTCAAAATTAATTAATATTATTAAATTAAAGCAATATTTAAATAAATTTATTTTAATAATACTTTTCGCAATTTCAAAGAAATATTAGAAATAATAAAATATCTTTAAAAAGATTTAAAGAATTTATAAATTAAATTTATTTATAAAATTTTCTAATTAATTATATTTTATTTATAAATACTTTAATTAATATATATATAAGTATAATATATAATTATTACAAGCCAGGCCTTTATATAAAGAAAACTAATAGTTCGATTAATTAAATAGAATTCTCTAAAAAGAAAAAAAGAAGAAAAAAAGAAGAAAAAAGAAAAAAAGAAGAAAAAAGAAAAAAAAAAGAAAAAAGAAAAAAAAAAGAAAAACGAAAAAAGCAGAACTATATTCTTTAAAATATCTGAACTTCTTAAGTAATATATAATTACTTTATTAATCCAAGGAGGCATATTATATAATAAAGGCCCTGGCCTTTATTATATAACTTAATATAGGCTTCTAGCCAAATATATAAATCGGGTTTTAACCCATTATATTACCTTTTCTTTATTTGCAAATACCGGTCCTATAAATATATAAGTAGAACTTCTTTTTATTAAATAATCTTTTTTTAAGTTTCTAATATTATTATCTCTTTAAATGCGAAATATAGTTCTTATATAAAATATATATAGTTTTTTCATTTTATAAATAGCTTTTTTAAAAGCCCCCGACTATATTTTATATATTTCTTATTAAGAATTCGTTTAACTTTATACTTATTTTCGTTTCTTATAAGCTATAATTATAGCTATAAGTCGTTTTAAGACTAACTTTAGCTAAAGGAATTTATTATAGAATATATTATAGATTTCTAGAAAAGTATTAAACTAAAAACTATAGCTTTTTATTACCTTAATTATTATATATTTAATATACTTTATATTAAGTTTCTTAATTAGCTTATTTATTCAGATATTCTAGAGATTAAGCTAGACTTTATTTCTAATCTTAAATTCCGTAATCTAGTTTCTTTTCTCGTTTATTATTTTTTCTTGAAATTACTAGGCTATTACTATTATATATTATAAAGCCTATATATAATATTATCTACTATTTGAATAGGTAATAGTTCTTTGCTTTCTTTACTAACTTTATTCTAGAACTATATTAGCTTAATATAATATTTATAAGATAAAAAAAATAAACTAATTTCTATAAAAAAAATATTTCGGTTATTAATTACTAGCTTAATATATAATAAGAAAGTTATTTAATTTACTTAATTATAGTCTATAAAGATATAGAAAAAGGTTTTAATTATTTGATTTTTTTTTTATAAATCCGTTTATTTCAAGATAATATATTATAGATAATTAATAAATAATATCTAGTAAGTTATATATTCTAATTTATAGTACTTTTATGAACTGCTTTTCCCGGTTAGAAACTATTACTTTCGAAAGCCTATACTAGTAATAATAGATTATTATAAATTATTTTACTATTATTTTTACTATAATATTTATTATAGCCTCGAGTATTATCTCTTTTTCTAGATAATTTATAATAATTATTATATTAGTATATTTTTTATTTAATAGAAGTTCTATTATAAAATTAATCGAGATCTCTTATTAGATTTAATTCGGAATAAAGAAAGGTTTTAGAAATCTCTAATAGCGGTTTCTTTATATTTTATTTCTCTTATAAATATTATAATTCTATATAAACTAATATATTTACCTTAATATATTTAGTT